GGGCTCGAACTCACGGACCGCGAGATCGTGACCTGGCTGAAGTCGGACGCTTAACCAACTGCGCCACCCAGGCGCCCCTTGGCCCCCCGTGTGACGCTTAACCGACTGCGCCACCCAGGCGCCCCTTGGTCCCCCGTGTTTGAGAACACCATGCTTTTCTTTTGGTGAACCCCCCTGTATTTGTTTCCTCTTGCTGCTGTAACAAATTGCCACAGAGTCAGTGGTTTCACACAACACAAATGTATTCTCTTACGTTTCTGGAGGCCCTAAGTCCCGTCGGCAGGGTGTGTTCCTCCTGGAAACTCGAGAGAATGTTGTTTCCTTGCCTCTTCTGGCTTCCACAGGGTGCCTGTAGCTGCACCCTCCCTCTTCAGAACCAGCAGCCTGGGGCCTTCGAATCTTTCTCTGTGTCCTTGTGTATCTGTGGCCTCCTGCCTCCTTCTCATAAGGACCCTTGTGATTACATCGGGCTCATCAGGAGAATCTTCCCACCTCAAAATCCTTAAATTAATCATCTCTGAAAAATCTCTTTTGCCATATAAGGGAACATCTTCCAAGGTTCCAGGGATTGGGGCATAGATGTCTTTGGGGGCCTTTAGGCAGCCCCCACATTCCCATTCTCCACTGTCAGTTCACAGGGTCATGTTGAGACGGACTCCGCTCCCTGACACATGCCTGGCCACCCAACTTGCTCTACTCCTGACTACAGTGATGGTTTGCAGTGGGCAATTACAGCCAATGCTGCAATTTTTTCAAAAATTAGTGCAAAAAGGGGCGCCTGGGCGGCTCAGTCGGTTAGGTGTCCAACTTTGGCTCAGGTCATGATGTCCCAGTCCATGGGTTTGAGCCCCATGTCGGGCTCTGTGCTGACAACTCAGAGCTGGAACCTGCTTCAGATTCTGTGTCTCCCTCTCTCTCTGCCCCTCCCCCACTCGTGCTCTGTCTGTCTGTCTCTCTCTCTCTCTCAAAAATAAACATTAAAAAAATGTAAAAAAAAATTAATGCAAAAGAGGCACTCTTTTTATGGGGTTACTAAGTAGATAATATATAAACCTGGTGTTGAAAATGACCACTGAGGGAGGGCTGCCTGAGAATGAAGATACCACGAAGCAGCTAAGACTCCCCTTTCTAGCAATCCAGTGGGTTAACTTCCCTCCCAGTTGAAGTAATTAAATTCTGGGGAGTTCTTCTTTAAACCATGAAGGATTAAGTGACACAGGAATCACCCTCCCACCGTAAACAACGAGAACACTGAACAAAATACAGAAACAATTGTATTCAGACACTGAACAATGGAGAACATAGGACTATAATCCTGAAAGAGGGAAAATAAGAAGAGTCCGAAAATCACCCTTGCTTATGGCCCAGAAGCAGCTTGCAGTCCAGGGAGCAGGGAAGGGACCCCAAAACCCCAGTGGTCCATCTGAGTTGGAAATACAGAGATCCAAGGTCAGGGAGGCCAGGGCACCAGTAATTTGTGGGGGAAAGTACTGGAAAATAAGAAAGTTCAGAGAGAGAGAGACAGAACACCAGAAGAGAAACTTCACAGAAGAGAGAGGTCTTCTCCGGTCTGGCTCAGTATTGACCTATCTACACAGGCCAGAAGTGAAATCCACATAAATACCAGGAAGAGGCATCAGAAAGCAGCAGGCTGAACAATTCTCAGAGCTTGTATGGAGTTAGAAAGAGAACACACATTCCCACCAGCCAAAGCAGAAAGGTCTTGAAATACATACACATTAGACAGAGTCCCCAGAAGAATCATGTCTGAGTAATGGGGACAAATTAACTAGAGAATTAAGGTCACTCTGGACTCACCCTAATTACACTCAAAAAGAAGCCTCAGAAGGACCAAACTGATTTGAAAGTAATTTAAATGTATGTCAGAACAAAGCCAAATACTCTTCAAAGGAGTATAACTAAATCAAGCACTCAAAAAGATAAAATTCACAATGCCTATCAGCCAGTCAAAACTACTAGCCATGACCCATACATGACCCATAACTAGGAGAAAAATTAGCCCATAGAAACAAACTCAGAAATGACTGATGATGGAAATTTAGCAGCAAAGATTTAAAAATTTTTTTTATTTAAAAAAAATTTTTTTTTAACATTTATTTTTGACAGAGACAGAGTGTGAGCAGGGGAGGGGCAGAGAGAGAGGGAGACACCGAATCCGAAGCAGGCTCCAGTCTCTGAGCTGTCAGCACAGAGCACAACATGGGGCTCGAAGTCACAGATCGTGAGATCATGACCCGAGCCAAAGTCAGATGCCCAACTGACTGAGCCATACTGGCGCCCCTAAATTTTTTTTAATGTTTATTTATTTTTCAGAGAGAGAGAGAGAGAGAACAAGGGAGACGCAGAGAAAGAGGGAGACACAGAATCTGAAGTAGGCTTTAGGCTCTGAGCTGTCAGCACAGAGCCCAACATGGGGCTCAAACCCATAAACCGTGAGATCATACCTGAGCTGAAGTCAGACGCTTAACTGACCCAGCCACCTAGGAAACCCTGGCAGCAAAGATTTTAAAACAGTTATTATAAATACTGTATGTTCAAGATATAAAGGAAAATATACAGAAAATTAAGACCAAAATGGGATATTTAAAAGATCCAGCAACATCTACCTACCTGTCCTGGGGTCCATTCTGTCTGCTGGCTGAGGGAAGCCACAGTGTCAATGGAGCTGAGATCCAGCTGCTCCAGCTCACTCTCATTAAGAGCCAGAGCAATGCGCCCCAGGGAGACAATATGGTACTCTTTCCAGTAAGAAGGCATGTCCCAAAACTTCAAGCCAAAAAAAAAAAAAAAAAAAAAAAAAAAAAATCCAGATTAGACTGACCATTACCAATAGTATTTTAAACAGACACAGGGTAAATCTCTTTAATATATAAAATTCTCTTAAAAATCAACAAGAAAAATATGACTACACTTGTTTTTACTTAAATATATATATACAAAAGACATGAACAGAACAACTTTGTATCACAGGAATGGACTGGTCTGATTTCTTGGCCCTCGTCTTGAATTGGCCACATCTCGGGTCCCTGGCCAGTGGACTAAGGCTTTGTCTAAGATGACAAAGACAGCTCAGGGGAAGTGGGGGAGGGTGCTCTTATCTTCCCTGTTGTAGTTTGAGGGTTTGATGTTTTCTGGGTAAAGAGGCCATTTATCTTGTAAACACAAACATTTTTGCTTTCCCTAGTTTTCTGTTAATGGTGAAACAACAGAAGCAAAGTTTTACTGATTTTCGAAAAAAAAAAGACATGAATAAGAAATTCACAAAAGAAACATGGAAAAAAGTTCAGTCTTAGTCATAACTTTTTAAATTGTACATTAACAACAATCAAAGGATACCATGTTAGCTGATCATATTGACAAGGAATAAACAGAATGATCATTTATGGTGTTGAAGAGATATGGGATAAAGGATACCCTCATTTGTGGATGTTGAGAATATAATTGGTACGTACTTTTTGGAGAGGAATTTGGTCATATGTATCAATAGCTTTTCAAATATTTACACTCTTTGACCCCAAAATTCCACCTTAGGAATTTATCCTAAGTAAATAATGAGACAAGTATCCAAAGAAATATGTACAAATACGTACTTTGAGGCATTAAAAAAATATAAGCAACCTAAAAGTCTACCAATTTGCTAAATAAATAAGGACAGGAAAAAAAAGGACCAGCCATAAAACAAAATATTATATAGCTATTTAAAATGCTGATATATGGGGCGCCTGGGTGGCGCAGTCGGTTAAGCGTCCGACTTCAGCCAGGTCACGATCTCGCGGTCCGTGAGTTCGAGCCCCGCATCAGGCTCTGGGCTGATGGCTCAGAGCCTGGAGCCTGTTTCCGATTCTGTGTCTCCCTCTCTCTCTGCCCCTCCCCCGTTCATGCTCTGTCTCTCTCTGTCCCAAAAATAAATAAACGTTGAAAAAAAAAAAAAATTTAAAAAAAAAAATAAATAAATAAAATGCTGATATAAATTTATATTTCTGATAAAGAAAAATATGCATTTATACTGTTGGGTGTGGACAGCAAGTTATTGAATAGTGAGTGAGCACGATATTATTTTTTGAAACATATATGTGTAAGTATACACGAAATACACGCATGAAATATATAAATATATTTTATACACATATACAGAAGTCTGGGGAGCTTCAGGTGAATATACCAAAATGTTAACAGTGCTTATCTCTAGGTAGAAGATTATGACCGATTTTCTTTTTTATTATTTTCCCACGTTTCTACAATAAACTTGGGTCATCTATATAAAAAAGAGTTATAAATATAATTTTAAGAAATTTAATGCCTTAACCCCACAAAGGTAACTAGATATTCCACAACTATCCTAATGGCTGAAATGAGCCACTCAAAGGGACCCTTTTATAAAGATGAAAAATGACTTCTAGTCTTCTTTTCACTTTTTTCTGCTATGTTTCCCGACAAAATCGCAACACCCTCTGAGAAAACCTGCTGTAAGCAGCAACTGAGGTCCTCCATGTGGAGAAAGAAAAGGCACAGTTCCTAGAAACCGTCTCAGTCAGAGGCACCAGAACATCCACAGAACTTTTTACTGAACATCCATTAGATGCCAAGACACATGTCTGTTCTCTGCCACAGCCCTAAGAGAGAGGAACTAGAAATTTGTCAGATGCGAAGAGCACGCCTACGGCACTGGGTTCATCCAGAGAAACTGCAACACAGTAACACCAAGTGAAAACCCCCTGGGGTGGGCTCTGCCCACAGAAATGCTGGGACCGTCCTTCTGGGGTTTTCTCTCTGTTGAAAGCTCCCACCCTGACGTGGGCTTTACCTGTACTGCCTTCTCCTTCAGGGTCATCAGCTGAGGTTGGTCGAAACCCCTGACAGCCCCCAGAAGTTCCACGTTCCTGATGAACGTGTGCTCCTCCATGCAGAGCAGGTCCTCGGGGGCCCAGCAGGCATTGGCTTCAGCCAGCGTGAAGATGTCACCAGAGGAAGGAGCCACGACTCCATGGCAACCTGAAGAATGGGGAGGAACAGAAGAAAGAGGGCTTCAGGCACGTTAGTCTGTTTCTTTATTGAAACGAGTAACCTTCTCCAGTTGGATTTATGCACGAGAGGCAGCTTAGCGTCGACGTTGAGAGCAGGGACACATGGAGCAGCCTAAATCCCACTTCTGGAACTTCTTGCTAATTACCTGGTAATGAAATTGCGGAAATGCCAACTTTTTGCACACCACATGCACACCGCAGGAGCTCTGCAACGTTTCACTGGGGCTCCAAATTGCCTGGAGGACAGTAGGAGCTGGTGGTGAACAGTTCCGGCTTCAGATTCAAATCCAAAACTATATAACCCCTGTCTGCCTCAGTTCCCTCGTCAATAAAATAAGGATAAAATTACCTCATGGAACTTCTGTGAAGGCTAAATGTATTATTACATCTGAGGCACTTAGAACAATGCCAGGTATACAGTAAGTGCTCAATACGTGTTAGCTATCTTTATTAGCTATGTACCCGCAGCCCCCCTGCATACATTTGAGTTTGCAACCCAGAGTTAAAGCTCCCAGAATTACGAGGAAGGAGCATTCAGTTCTCGGTGTAGGAAGGGAGGATGAATGATGTGCCGTCCATGAAAATCATCGGGGAGGCTATGGCCTTCCCACTGCCTCAGGGAGAGGAGAAATGGACCTGTTGCGTTTTCTTCGCAACAGGAGAAACCCGTCCATTTCAGTCTCGGAATAAGTTGAACCTCATCTGGTCAAATGAGCTCACAGCATCAACACGCAAACGAAATGTTTCTCCCAGATATGCC